GTGCAAGTAGATAAATAGGTACCGTTCCGGTGGGAAGGTAAATGGCATTTCCGTGCGCTGCTCTGGTTCGCCAGAAGCATCTTAGTCATGCTGGCCACATGACCCAGAAGCTGTACGCCGGCTCCCTCGGCCAATAAAGCGAGATGAGCGCCGCAACCCCAGAGTCGGTCACGACTGGACCTAATGGTCAGGGGTCTGTTTACCTTTTTACCTTAAAAATGGAGTTACCTTACCTCCCACATTCTTTTGTAGATTACTTGGTCCAAAACTGCAGGCACCACACGGGTGCCTATGGGTAAGAAACCTTGCAAATTCCAGACAAATCACTCCAGGGGCTTTTATACCAGAAAAACTTTAGCATTGATTTTGCGGTGGAAAGCTGTAAAAGAATGCAAGAGCCCTGCCAGATCAGGCCAAAGGCCCATGTGGTTCAGCGTCCTGTTCTCAAGGTGGTTATCTGTATTCCCATGGAAAATCTGCAAGGAATTTGCTGTCTCAAGTAAAACAATTCCCTCTTTGCAAGCTAGACCTGTGAGTTGCAAATGAGGTCTTATTCTCCCCCGTCCCCATCCTAGCATATCTTTTAAGTTTAGAGGCATATTTCAAGTTTTGCTCTTGAAAGCTGCCCCTTCCAAAGCATTGGGATTTGAGAGTGCCAGTAAAACAATTCCCTCTGATTACAATCTAGGCTTGCCCATCACAATGGAGCTCTTCCTGCACCCTCTCCCTACTCTGGTGTTCATTCTGCCTTCCCCATCATCTCAACCTGGCATGATGTCTGGGTTGCTGAGCAGCCACAAAGCTGTCCCTCCTTTCAATTGTGCTGCCGTATAGAGATCCTACTTCACTTCTGGGAAGTACAAAACATTGCTGAGGCATGCCATTATTTTGCGATTCATCTGTATCACCTCTGGGGCAAACAGTAGCTTTCCTGTACCATGATTCCAGTCCAGAAGAGGCCTCCCAGCTTTCTCTTAAGGAAAATATGAAAACTCCTCAACATTCTATTTAAAACAGGGAAAACTGAAGTTAAGCATGTTCTCCTTCATGGAGAGCACGTGTTGCGGTGGGGGCTGACAAGTCACCCCACTGTTACTCGGCGGGCAAAAGAAGTAGTTGGCCACTGTTGTGATTGGGCTTCCCTTGTTGTTGGGGGGATGTTAATGTTGCCATTTTATGATTGCCAGCCTGAAGTTTTAAAACCCCTGCACTCAGCTTTGAGCTTCCTCTTTTTGCTGCGTGCATTGGATTGTCCGCCCTCCCTCCCTATATTTAGGGTTGTTCGCTTTGACCTTGCTATGCCTGTCATGGGCTCGTCTGCTCTTGGGGCAGGGGCCCGGTAGGAATTTTGTCCATTTGGCTGATTGGCTGGTGCCATTTGGTTTTTGCCTACTGCGTAGCAAATCGTCACAACTTGTAAGGTTGCGGTTAGGCATTGGTTTTTTGATTTGGTTAGTTGAGGGGCGTGGATTGGCTCTGCCTGCCCCTCTAATTGATGCTGCTGCAAGGGTACTCCATTAAAGGAATACAGGGGCTCACCATTGCTTTTGTCCGAACCCTGTCAAGGGGCTAGGGCCATGCAGGAGCCCCTGGGAGCATTTGGGGAAGGTTGAGGGCAGGTTCCTTGCTCTGTCGCTATCCCCCAAATATTTTCCCTTTTTCTGACTTTCGCGGCTGTGCGAAATGTCAGTCTGTCCCCATCCGGGGTCAGATAGTCGCAACCAATGCCTAAGCAACATTTTTTGTATTTTAATAAAGTTGTGGCCAAAATAATGCCAAAAACCTTAAACAAAAATTCTGAGTGAATTGTGTCTTTATTTGGGGTAGCTTGGGGACCTCGACATGCAATGCTCTTAGATGTATAATATTGCCAGATTGGCTTTGGAAGGGGGTCTGTAGCACTAATTCCCATGCTGCTGAGATGTTGCTTTGGGGAACAGTATGAACGGCCAAGGGATACTTTTATATCTTGTTAGATTTAAGCAAGGCTCAGTTTTGAACAAGGTGTGGGAAAGGCATAGCATTGACATAGTATATAATGAAATGTGAACATTTGCCGTTTCCAATAAGCTGCCTTGAAACTACTAGTGTCCTTTGTGTAGTTTGTTGAAAGGCTTTCTTGATACAAGGTCACTGTTGTCTTATGCCAAATACAAGAAAGTGCTCTAGGAATAAAAGATTGGGCACATAAATCTCTCTCTTTTTTTTAGTAACGTTTTTGCCTTCTTCTGTGCCACTATCTTTCTACAGGGGAACCCTATTACAATACTTTTGCTATATACATATCCATATTTTTCTTCTCTCTCTCTCTTTCTCCCCTGCCTGAATAGACATCAGTTTTTCCTTTTCAGTCAAGCTTATTATAGATATTATGATGATGACCATTTTATCATATTAGAAAAGCAAATCATAAAAATGCCCATATCTTTTATGAGACATCCCAGCTGCTCTTTTTAAAAATAAAAATAAAAAGAGGGCATACTTTTGAATTAGAAAAGGTACTTTAAAATTAATGACCTCTGCAAAATGCCACCTGTCAGGCACGGCATCCAAACTGACATTCAAAATATTCTGGGGAGAAAAGGCGAAGCAGTTGATTATGTGTTAATGTATAGTATGATAACCAAAGCTTAATTTGAAGAATTCCTTTTGCACATGCCCTCAGTTCTCATCCATCCAGTCTTCAGTAGTGGAGAGACATTATCTTTAAATAGGTACACAATGTTTGTTCTTTACCCCTCAATTACCAAAACCGTTCTTGCAAACATGGCTAAAGAAGGAAGGTTTCCAGGTGTCAGGGACGGACTGGCCACTGAGAAGTGGTGGCATTGGGGGGAATCATAGACATAAAATCCACACAGAAACACATCATTGCTTGTTTCAACTCACTTGTGGAAATAACTCAGAGGCTGTGAAAGAAGGAAGGTTAACAACAGAAAGAATTAGAGGAACCATCGGAAGTGACTATGAATAGAATATGAGATGATCAGAACCCTCCGAACTTGAAGCATGGGAAGTCCTATTAAAAATTTATAATTTGGCAGAATATTCAGATTATTTTATACCTTGGGTTAAGTACTTAATTCGTTCCGGAGGTCCGTTCTTAACCTGAAACTGTTCTTAACCTGAAGCACCACTTTAGTTAATGGGGCCTCCTGCTGCTGCCACGCCGCCGGAGCACAATTTCTGTTCTCATCCTGAAGCAAAGTTCTTAACCTGAAGCACTATTTCTGGGTTAGCAGAGTCTGTAACCTGAAGTGCATGTAATCTGAAGCGTATGTAACCCGAGGTACCACTGTATATGTATAATTTGGAATATTTTGTGTGATTTGATTGGATTGTTAAAGTGGAAAATTTAATTAAAATGATTTTTTTATATAAAAAAGAGAGAAGTGGTGGCATTATAAATATTTTTTAGAACATCTGCTCATAGCAGGGTTTCTGTGGGAGGATAATTTCTTGCAAAACCGTCTATCCTACTCATCATTTTTGCTTCCGTTTGTTTCATGGTCCCATTGTTTCTGCCCTCTCTAGAGTAGGTTTAGGAAGCCTTGCCTTCACTCCAGTTTGGCTTCAGAAGTGATCCATGCAGCATAAAAAATGGAGACAAATCAAAATGAGAATCCACCCACCCCCCTTTGTGTTTTAAAAAGAATACCACCAAACAGCTGCTGGGAATACAATTGCTGCAAGTAAACTTGCCTTCACCTTTGTTCAGACTCTTCAGTCATTGAAATGTCTCCAACTTTGCACCTTCCAAACAAGGGCTTTTCAGCTGAGCAGTAGCCTGTGTAAAATTAAAGGGCTTGGGTTTTCTATTGCAGTTCTAGAAGATTGTGTGTTGGTGTCTCTGGATAACTGTACCGTTACCATTTTCCAGACTGTCCTTGCATGAGAATAGGATATGTTCTACAGCACTGAATAATAGTTAAACATTTTTTTGTGTGTGAACTGACCTTACATTGTACTGTCACTGTACATCTTACCTTGTATATTTCTATTTTGTGTAGAATTTCATTGCTAATGGGAATTAAGGAATGGTTCACAATGCATGGTCATTCTTTGATGTGTACAGTGTCAAGAATGAACGAGCTGTTTCAGAATTTGAATGAGCTATTTCTGAATCTGAGATGCCTCATTCAGATGTGCAATTTATAACACCAAAGTTTTAACTTTAATGTCATTCCACGTGCCCAATTCAGTGCTTTCTGAGAGCATTTTAGCTCACACATTCAGCTGCCACCTCAGTGGTCCTGTGAAGAAAGATCAAGTGATATATGTTCATCTCGCCTTTATAATATTGGTGTGTGTGCGTGTGTGTAAACACTGATGATAGTAGAGAAAATGAGTTTTTTTAAGATAAGACTCGTGACATGTTGTAGTACTCTTTTAAAACTTTGCTATATTTATTATAGGGCTATAAATAACATCTTCATGACACATAGAGGAAAAATTATATAGCCAACCATAGTATTTCTGTTTCTATTTAGGGTTGTGATGAGAAACGAAGCAGTCATACCAGATGGCATTTGAGGTTGTGTGTGCATGAATGACACCATATATGAATTAATCATTTCCACCCCCATTTATATTGAGCCAAATACCTAGGACTGACAATTTAGTTCATTATATGATCATTCTTGCTTCCATGGAAACTGATGCTCCACAGTCTAAGAATGCCACCGTGTGTGTGTGTATGTGTGTGCATGTTTAGAGATACCTCTTTATTCCTTTTCTATTATCTATATTTATGACATTCCTCACTATCCTATTGCAAGATGTGCATGCACCAATTAATATTAATTTTATAAAAATCACTTGGAAGTATACAGCTTGGTTGCTTAAGCTTATTTTAATTTTTTTTTTGGAGTGGCTAAGTGAGGGTTGGGTCAAATGTAGACTGAACCTACTACATAGGAAGTCAGGCCATTGGTCCACCCAGCACAGAGACTGGCAGCTGTTCTCCAGGGTTGCAGACAAGTGTTTTCCACAGTCTTACCTGGACATGCTAGAGGTTGTATCTGGGACTTTCTGCATGCAAGGCAGATGCTCTACTACTGAGCTACAGCTCCTCCTCAAACTTGGGATTACACACTCCTAGTGTACTGGTTAAGAGCAGTTGACTCGTAATCTGGTGAACCGGGTTCGATTCCCTGCTCCTCCACATGGAGCTGCTGGGTGAACTTGGGCTAGTCACACTTCTTTGAAGTCTCTCAGCCCCACTCACCTCACAGAGTGTTTGTTGTGGGGGAAGAAGGGAAAAGGAGATTGTTAGCCGCTTCGAGACTCCTTAGGGTAGTGATAAAGTGGGATATCAAATCCAAACTCCTCCTCCTCCTCTTCTTCTTCTTCTTCTTCTTCTTCTTCCTCTTCCCCTTCCTCTTCCATTGTCTTCTGCAAAGCAGTTTCTTGCGGACAAAACAGCAAGCTATGCTTTGCCTCAAGCCTGGATGAGGAGGAGCAAATGGTGAATATATGAACCTGAGGCTCCTTGCAGGCGCATCATCAGAGCACCATCAGAACATCGGGCATTGTATCTAAACCAGCCCAGAGTGTTTGTCTAACTAACAAATTTATAAAGGATAATATTACATTCAATTTAAGTGTGCATTTAATCTGGAAATTGAATTTCACCATGGTATCCTATTACCTCTATGCGCTAGTATGACTATTTAGGTTATGGTATCCTGAGCTTATTGTAGACCCTATTTCATTTTATGTACCACTGCTTTGTATGTTCAGACTGTTAAGTTTTGAAAACTAATCTTATGTTGTAGTTGAATTCAAAGCCTCAACCCTCTTTTTTGCTAAACCTGCTAAGGACTTCGTCTTAATCATGTAGTCTGAGCTTTTCATAAATCCTGGTTTGATCCTATCTAGTAGGAGGGAAAACGCCTCTTCCAGTTGAAAATTATTTCCACAGGTAAATCAATGGGCTAAGTATCACTACCCTACATATCTGAGAAATCCTGAGGAAGCTCAACACCAGGACCAAAACAGAAAAATGAATAGGTCAGAACATACTTTAGACTTGTTGATTTTTCTTTCTGCCTGGGAAAACTTCCTGTTTCCCCCCAGAATGAAACTCATGTCATTGGCATGTAGGAGAATGTTACATTTTTGATTGTAACTTTGTTGTTGTTTAGTCGTTTAGTCGTGTCCGACTCTTCGTGACCCCATGGACCAGAGCACACCAGGCACTCCTGTCTTCCACTGCCTCCTGCAGTTTGGTCAAACTAATGTTCGTAACTTGGAGAACACTGTCCAACAATCTCGTCCTCTGTCGTCCCCTTCTCCTTGTGCCCTCAATCTTTCCCAGCATCAGGGTCTTTTCCAGGGAGTCTACTTTTCTCATGAGGTGGCCAAAGTATTGGAGCCTCAGCTTCAGGATCTGTCCTTCCAGTGAGCACTCAGGGCTGATTTCCTTCAGAATGGATAGGTTTGATCTTCTTGCAGTCCACAGGACTCTCCAGAGTCTCCTCCAGCACCCTAATTCAAAAGCGTCAATTCTTCAGTGATCAGCCTTCTTTATGGTCCAGCTCTCACTTCCATACATCACTACTGGGAAAACCATAGCTTTAACTATACAGACTTTTGTCGGCAAGGTGATGTCTCTGCTTTTTAAGATACTGAAACTCAAAATAGAATCTATACTGAATGTAATGACTAGCTAAAAGAAAAGGCAGTAAATTATTATCTGTTTCTCACTCGCTGTACCTTGAAGAACTAAATAAAATATACTGAAGTCTGCAGTTGACTGACTTGTTGATAGTTAAGGATTTGCCCACATGTCTGACTAACAGGTCCATGCTATAGAGAAGTGAGGAGGAATAACAATATTTAGCCTGGTTGGCAGGAACTAGCAGGCTTCAAAAGTGTGCTAAGGCACAGTGAACCTGCCACTGCGCGCGCGCGCACACACACACACACACACACACACAGCACAACAATCTTTGATCAAAACAGACCACAACATAAGTTGGTGTTCCAAGGTATTCCATTTGTTTGGGATGGGTTCAGGGTGTGCACTGAATGACTGGAATGATTTCATTTCCAAAATGTTGTTCTCATGTGCATCTAGGCCAGGGGCCAGCAAACTTTTTCAGCAGGGGGCTGGTCCACTGTCCCTCAGACCTTGTGGGGGGCCTGGACTATTTTTTTTTCGGGGGGTGAACAAATTCCTATACCCCACAAATAACCCGGAGATGCATTTTAAATAAAAAACACACATTCTACTCATGTAAAAACACCAGGCAGACCCCACAAATAACCTAGAGATCATAGCTGTCAAGTGTCCCTTATTTGAAGGGACAGTCCCTTATTCCAGCGCCATGTCCCGCTGCTGTCCCTTATTGATGGATGTCCCTTAAATGTCCCTCAAATGATGTCCCTTAAATTTCAAAGGAAGCAGCTCCTCTCCCTCTCTCCCTGCCAGCCAGGGAGGAGGGAGGCTCCAACTGTGTTGATTGGCTGTGTTGCTCACCCAATAAGAAGTCTAAGAATGACTGGGGGGTAGAGCTTGCATGCCTTGTGTGTGGCTAGTTAATGCAAGCTGAGGAGTTTTTTGAATGCTGGACTCCATTTTGTTGCACGTGCTGCTGCAAACTTTGCAGTGCAAAGCCAGGCCGGGGAGCCATCTTAAGTTGAGGCTGCATAGGCCTTGTGGTGCATGTGATTCAGATTCTATTCAGTTGAACCTCTGGTTACAAAGTTGGTTGGACAGTGTTCTCGAAGCTACCAGCATGAGTTTGACCAGACTGCAGGAGGACAGGAAGACTGGAGTGCCTGGAAGAGGTGAGGCTGCAGTCCCTTATTTTGGCTGCTGGTCCCTTATTTTCAAGGCTGCTGGTCCCTTATTTTCAAATCTGTAAGTTGACAGCTATGCCTAGAGATGCATTTTAAATAAATGGACACATTCTACTCATGTAAAAACATGCTGATTTTCAGTCCATCCGTGGGCTGGATTTAGAAGGCGATTGGGCCAGATCCAGCCCCCGGGCCTTAGTTTGCCTACTTATGATCTAAGCCATCCAACTGTTTTGACATCATTTTTATTTATAAATCCACTGCAGCTTTTGGTCCATCCCCTCTTGGTTTCTGCTTCACCACAACCTCTTTGATTTCAGCCTGGTTTCTTAGCTCTGTCTTTTCTTACCTGTCTGCTACCATCTTGAGTTTGGGGTCCCAATCCTGTGTGTTTCTCAGGTTCTTTTCTCTCTCTTCATCTTCAATATGTTTGCATTTTTACTTCATTTTTAAAAATCCAAGTATGTATTTTCACCTGATTGCAATTAGTCCAGAGACAATCTCCTATCTCCTATACAAAGCACAATGTGTGTTTTCTCCCTGTTTGTGTCAGCACCAATGTTTGGCTAAGTAGGTGCTGTATCCCTTCTGCTTTCCGTATTAAATCTAAGCAGGCTGCATCTTTGTAGAGGCTAAAGGGCCAAGCACTACTGACTGATTCATTTCTCAGGTGAGCTGCAGTTGTCATCAGTTGTTTGTTTCTGAGTTTGTCAAACCTGGCATCTTAATGTTCTCATCTTTTCAATTCATTTTCTACTGTTTAGTATTGGGAAGACAACGCTTTAACAGTCTTGATTATTTTTATTCCAAATATGCATTTACATACAGGTTAATAACTAAAATATCTAATTATTGCAGAAATTAAGGTTTGTTTTCTTTTTTTAAAAAAACCAGTAGCTGCTGGCAACATGTTAGCTGCAAATTATCAACAGCAGTTATCCCTGCTCAAAGCATTTTGTTCACCCTCTATACCTTTTTCTTTTTATACTGTCAAACTAGGATTATAGCTGCCTAGAAAATATACAAGTTTTGCTTGTTTCTATTTATAAAAACAAAGCTCCTGGTTATTTAGCAGGAAAAATGCCTATAGAATTGTTGGGAACAAATTCAAATTTTCTCTGAATCCTTCAATGCATGATCTTGTAATTGTTCATCTCATAATTGCTACCAACCTTCTGGCTAATCAGAAATGTTCTGTTCTTTCCCAAGGTTCTAAATTGCTCGATGTGATTTTTGGGGATGTATGGTTTTTGTGCTGCTGCTTGGGAAGTGTGGCTAATTGTGGGGATGATGAAGGCAGTGTGTTACCTAGTCAGCAACCCAAGATTCTTTCGTTCTACAGATGTTATGCTGGGAGGATGAGATAAGTGGAGGAAACCATCCAGCCCCACGATTCAAGACGAGATAATCCACCCACAGATAAAGACATGCATTACATGAGTCCGACTAAAACCACACCTAAGAAGAACCTTGGGGGAGGAAAAAAAAGATGCATTGGCAAGATATAGTGCTTACAAAACATTACTGGTTTTTTTTTGCGTGTGTCCAAATGCTCTGGAACTAGTGTAGGGTCAAACATGTTGTCAGGGAACTGCCATCAGCTCAGAGGCGAGAGGTGGAAGGGCAGTTGGGTTACAGGAAGCCTCCGAAGATCGTGCAAAGCAGCGTTTCCTCCGGCGAGGAGGGAAGCCCCGCCTCCAGTGCGGAAGGGATGCAGGGATCGGAAGATGCTTGAGAGAGCCGCAACACGGAGCCTGAGCAAAGCGCAGAGAGGGGAGGAGAAGGATGGGAGTCAAAAGACACTCATGCTGGGGAAGGTTTAAGGACCGCCCACTCCCAGATTCTGCTAGCGACATGAGCAGACATGGACTTGAGACGCTCTGCACTGTAAATGTTTTTGTACGGATAATAAAGCCTGGAAAAGACCGGTGGGAGTCTTGCCTGTTCGCTCTCGAGCAACCACGCCGGCACATAACACATGTATGTTTGTTTCTCAGCTATCTGCATTTCCCTTTGTAAATATCTCCCTGCTTACATGCCAAAGCTACACTCCTTGCTCTTGGGGTGTGTGCAACACTCCCAGCCTTCCATGGGAGGGAAATCAGCAAGGCCTTTCTTCTGTAAATTTCAGAAATGAAGCCTTGTCTAAAAGTTGGCCACAGAGAATTAAAGGAAATAAATACAAAACACCTAATAATTAATTACAAGTGGTTTGCAGGGCAGAGGGGCTTGCCATCCAATACATTGAATATTGCAATCGTATCTG